CTTTACTTTACTCGAAAAAGTTATCTAAATGTGTCCTACGCAAAATATGAGTAACATTTACTGAAATTTCGTTATATTTAACTCGGCTAACTTACTTTTATAATATTTTTGTTGGCCAGAGGGAAACAGTTCCAAAAAAGGAGCCATTTAATTTTACAATTTTGTTTATTGTTGTGCATGGAAGCAGTAACTTTAATAAGTAGTACTTTGATTGAATGAATACCAAAATAATATTCCAACTAATTAATTTAATTGATTTCTGATTGATTATTGATCTAATCAATTTTTTTATTGATTTATTTTGTTATCATTTTATTGTTTGCTATAGTCGTCTAATCAATTGCACGCACTGTGATTCTGTACTGTGACTGATAGTTTATAATTTTGATTCTAATTAAAATCATTGAGCATATCTAAATTGCTCGAGTAAATGAGTACTTAATTCTTGAACTCATTTAATGCATCAAATAACTTTATTACTTAATTTATTATTGTTACATTTTGCTCATGGTTAACTACTTGCTAAATTCCTTTACACCGAAAGTGCTGCTTGTAATGGCGTGAGGTAACTTTTATTAAATTACAGTCAACTTTATTCACAAGTTTACTGATTACAGTTAACTGCAAAAAATTATCAATGATTTAAGAGTTTATTTTAAAAAATTTGTAGCTATCAAAAGGTCAGTATTTAAAATATTTTTAAAATTTCTGAAGTTATTGTTTTGAAGATGTGTTAAAATTTTATAACTTAAACGTGGTGCTATACATTTCTTAAATAAGTTTGAAAATAAAATTTTCGAAATATTACTTCAAATGTTTTAAATTTTGCTTTAAAGAGTTCAATGCAGGGAAGTTTTTCAGCTACTATTTATATTTTTGATACGATCGTTAAACTAATGTTTTTACCAAAAAAAGAAAATATTGATATCTCTTTGAAAATCACTTAATCACTTCTGAAAGGCACAACAATTGATTCGTTTTATCATATTAAATCCATCGCTGTTACACAGATCATTTAACCATCCGACGCGATGTGAAATGTTACTTTTAAACAGTGTAATATCTTAGTTTCAGATGGATTAAAAAAGGTTTCATCACATTCTGAAAGCTTTTATTCAAGGCCTTTTTTGTTGCATCTATCTTGAGTGAGTAAATCATTTTCAAACATAATTTTCATAGGGGTTTGATACAGTGAGAGATATCATTAAATTGGTCGAAAACACCGTGAAGTGAATCTTTTTACTTCAATAGTTCGGTGCATACGGAATTGAAGAAGCTAAGGTAGAGAGCAAATTTACCAGGTACATTCGATATTGACATTGTCCGAGAAGAGCCTTCAATCATTCAGTGGAATGACTGATAAAAGAAAATTACAATTATGTTATATTCCAAATGTCATACGTGTAAACAGGTTCTCTAAAAAACGTTTTTCTGTAAAATGTGTAACTTGCTTGAAGAGCTGAATAATATTCACTGTTCTGACTGGTCAGATGCACGGATGTAGGCAAAAAATTATATATGTTTGATATTTGCTGGAGGAATTTTATTTTATAGTTACTTCCCTTCACTGATTATCACAAATGATCGAAATTTGATTCTCAAACAGATTCTCCCGCTAATTATTATGACGAATTTTTTTCAATCTAAATTTTAAAATGAAAAATTGTTATTTGTTTATTTGGTACCATTTATAGTATATATTTGTTGCTTAGCTTTTTATTTTAATTGTTTTGGGTATGAAGGAAGAAATTAATATTTTATATAATTTCAGTATTGATATTAATAAAATAATACATGGTACATGGTACATGGTTGAAAATAAAAGGTAGCATGTGAAAAAGTGCAGTACTTAAATTGATTGGATAATTGTGAAAAAAGGAGAATAAATAAGTAATGAAGGATTGAATGAAAAATATTAATGCACATATTAAAAAATGAGTTTTGGTATACTGTTGGTTGGGATTCGGTGCACTTACTTCAGAAGGAAAAATTTTCGCTGTATTCAAATACTCACTTCACATTATGGTATTTACAGAAGTTTTTTGCGATTCAAACATCAATTATGCCAACTACAAAATTAGTTATTAAAATTCTTCATAGATTTAATTATTTACGGTCATGTATGCACCTATGCCGGTTTAAATTTCCAGAAACTGCAAAACCTTTATTGCAGATGTCACACATGTATATCTTCTTACCAGTATGCATTTGCGCATGGTACGTGATTTGGCTCCACGTAGTATAACTTTTCCAACACTGCTTACATTGGAATGGTTTTTCGCCAGTGTGTATTACTATATGCCTCTTCAGATGTGTAGAACTTGTGAAATTCTTGTTACACGTACTACATTCATATGGTTTTTCACCTGTATGCGTGCGTACATGAATCTTCAACTGCGTGTTTGTTGTGAAATTCTTTGAGCAATTCTGACAATGAAATGGTTTTTCACCGTTGTGTGTTCTCATATGGATTTTCAGATTCTCCTTTCGTGAGAAGCTTTTGTTGCAGTTGAGGCACACAAATGATTTGTTATCAGAGTGTACAGACATATGACTAGTCAACTGTTTGCTTGTACAAAAACTTGTTAAGCACATCTTGCACTGGAATGATTTTTCATTTGTTTGTATTCGCAAATGCCTCTGCAAAGAATTAGATGTTAAAAATCCTTTATCGCAGCGACTACACTTGTATCGTTTATCAGAAGTATGAACACGCCTATGCGCAATCAAGTTCGAGATTGAAGAAAAATTTTTCATGCAGTAATCACATTGATATCTTTTTTCATTCATATGCCTTCTTATATGGTCCTTCAGATGTCCACTATTTGTGAAATTCTTACTGCAATTATGGCACATGTATGGATTCTCAGCAGTATGTGTGTAAGTATGAGTTGTTAATTGACTTTTCGTAGAAAAACGTTTTGAGCAATTTGCACAATTAAAAGGCTTTTTACCCATATGAACACTTTGCTTGTGAATAGCTAGATTTCCAGGTTGAGAAGAAGATTTGCCGCAAACGTCGCATACATACGGTCTTCTTCCGGTATGTGTGTAAATATGATATTTTAAACTCCATTTAGTCGAAAAATATCGTAAGCAATATTGACATTGTGGACGCTTATCACAAATGACTCGTGAATAAATTTTACTCTCTACTGTTGAATCCATATTAGTCATTGATTTCTGTGAATCTGTATCCATGTAAGATAAACTACCATAATGAATAGGTTCTAGCTTTTGATGAATTAGATCTTCATGATAGTACTGTAAGCAATTCGGTTTTTCCGTGTCATTGCAAGAGTTGGACAGATTGAGAAGAATTTCACTACCAGCTGGTATAATTTTAGCTTCAGTCTCACTTTTTATCGAAATGTTCCACAGATCATTTTTATCGTTCTTATTTCTTGAATTTGTTAGTAAAGAGCAATTTTGTTGTTCTGTTTGACTGTTGAAGTCTCCCTGTAAAAAACTGTTTTGATCATTTAGGATCTTTTTTTAAACATGTAATTACAATTGTGATGTTTTAAATAATTTGTAAACTTACAACAGTGCGTGCGAATCTCAGATGGCAAGCTAAAAATAAGATGATGACAAACATCAATTTGTAATGACATTTGTTCCAGCGCATCTGAGATCAGAAATTATATTATATCGCAATAAATGAAATTTGACGTATTCTCATATCAGTAGGAACAACGCAAAATAAAAATTTTTAAAATTATTTACTTGATTTGTGAGATCATATTTAGAAGTATTTTTTTTTACTTAGTCAGAGTATTCAACTGAGCAAACTGAAATATGAATTGGTGCGGAAATATCAGTATCAGTAGGTCAACTCAGGACAAATTATAACTGCTCCAAGTCAACAGTTCTGATAAAATTTTTAGAATAGCGAATTTAATTATGTAGAAAAATTTTTTAATCTATGTTCATGGCATCAAAATAATCAAACAAAATACAATAAATAATATTTATGTTAAAATATGCAAAAATTGTCGATGCTATCTGTTTGAAAAATTAATCTATTCATGAAAAATTCAAATTTTAGAATTTTATGCAACTTCCAGCTTTTCACTTATTGCTCTACTAGAAATTCACTGTCCTAAAAATCTAAAATCTGTAAATCATAACATCAAATTTAATGAAAATTTATAACAACCAATTTTTTCTGTAGAATGTCATAAGTATATTGCTGAAATGAGAAAAATGTGAATGCAAATACAATATATGCAATTGCGTTTGAGGATTATCAATTTATTATTCTAAAAAATTGCTTTTAATCTATTCTGATTCTCCAAGCAACAAATTGTTATTCAAATGCAATATATTTACTGAATTTTTACGTTTTCTATGCTAAGCCAGTTTTTGTATTTAGATCAAAAATGATATATGTAAAATTCGTGGCTGTCGACGAATCAGGCTACAATAATAAATAAAGGAATGCAATGAATTTCCCGTTGATTACCAAGTCTATTATTATGTTTTATTCTTAACAATGTAATGAAATATTTAGTTTTATTTGATTATTTTTTATTTAAAAAATATTAAAGTGTAACTTCAAAGCTTTTGCTTTGTTGTGGTACTGTATTTACTGTATTTAGTTTTATATATCTATGTTGGAAACAATAGAAATGCTAAATTACAAATAATCGTATAGTTTCGACCACTATATTTCAGCAATAGTAGACATACATTAGGAATGAGAAAAATTAGATTATTATTAGGCAGAACTTTTTTTTCGGCGAATTGCATAGAAAACTTTGAGATATTCAGAAAAATGGAAGGACGAGTTTTTATCTTTCGTCTTAGGAATTTAAAGTGTCCACAGCATCCGAAAGCGTTTTTTACTCATACAGTCAAAGTCAGTATTACTTAACAAAAATAATTACAGTTAGATTAAAAGCTGAAGGTGAAATTCGAACTGAATGCATATAAACATTTGATGCATTTAGTCAATCCTCCCTGAATGAACTATCGAGAAAAAATTTGGAAATAAAATTCACAATAATAACAATAGCACCACTGAAGGTCAATGTATTATCTTAGTAGTCAATAACATACGAAAAGTTAATGTCGAGAATTTTACTGCTGTCGAATTTGAGAAATTCATGTTATTACTACAAATCAGGCTTTATACTTGCCAATTTTCTAGAATAAAACAATTCATTTTTTGTTGTATCAGAATCATATTATTCTAGAATCCTTCATAATTATCATTTTCTCAAGCTTCATCAAACGGCGCTTCATTTCGTTCGATGAATCCTGCAATATTATTTTCTCAAAAATATGATAATGAGAAATATGCAAAAATTTTAATGCTGCATTTGATCTACAATGTACTCGAATAAGCGGATTTAAAAATTTGTGATATGAAATTTAAAAAATTAATTAGCATTTTGTGGCAACCATTGCTCATTTTCAGGAAGATGAAATTTTGAATTGTGATTTGAATTATGATTTCAGAATCCTTTTAATCAATTTTGTTACATCTTATATTTATTTTACTATGAATAATTAGCTAAGCCAATAAAGGCAGCATATTATTAGCATGTGCACCAATTACTATGACTGATGGAAGAAAAGATATTAAGCATATAATTATCAAAATGCAAATTAGAGAAGTATAAAATGGATGCAGCAAAATGCTTTAAGCTGACTACTAAATCGCTGTGCATTTTATCGATGGTGTCGTTTAAGTTTTGAGCAATATTTTGCATAAATACTAAATTTTCCTCAACATTGCATTTTCTTGCTTGTAGCAATGACCCCTTCCAGCAATGTTGCTTCTCAGTTAAGGAATTGTTTCGTCGCAGTAATTTTTCGCCTACAATAAAAATTTGCTACAAACAATGTTGACAAGAAGTGCAGTTTTAAAAGAGGTCAAATATTTTTGAATTAACTGAGTTTCTGGAAAATTTTGAAAGTAAGAATTGTTAACAATGATTAGTAAATTAAAATTTCACTGCTAAAATTAATATAAGGATGAATAATTTACTTAAAGCTAGTCAGTAAATTAAAGTTTACACAAGTGCAACGTTCGTGAAGGTTGATAATTTTAAAGAATGAATAGGAAGTTAAAGAAATACTTCAAAAGTTGTTAATTACATAAATCAAATTACAGTCAATGAAACAAAATGAAATAACCTTTTTGTAAAAGAATCTTTTTAGATTCAGGATAATCGTCAAGAATATCCCATAATGAATCTTTTGTTAAAATGTGTAATTCTGAGAAACCCACTGATCTTACTGTTATTGTTCGTCGTCTATTTTCATTCCTACTGCCTGAATTAAAATTTTGTGAGAACTTTTTGATAAAAGTCATATTAAGCAAATAAAAATGTTATCAAATAAGCTTAATTACACCTTCTACGTTCAGAACTGATAATTCCCCGAATACACTGCCTTCTCTGAGAGTATCTAAAACTTTGCCACCATCTTCATTTATGACCTGCAGTTGACCTTTTCTTACGATGTACATCTCCTGTGAAATAACACATCATGAGCAACATTTTGCGATGGGAATATAGCCAGTCGTATTCTTATGATTACTATTAATAATGTGTTGCAACGAATAACCCTAAATTTTATGTTGAGAATCGCAAGTAATATGCATCTGGAAATTCTTAGTTGCGAAGTTAATCTTTCTAGCATCCATATGTTTGTATTGCTATTAAAAAATAGTAATCATGTATTGTAAGTTAAATGAAAGTAAGATAGTGCGCTACAAATTTATAGTACTAGGTCGTTATGGAACTTTAAACAGTGATTACAGAAGTAATACAGATCTAAACCTTTCCAACGTCTCCCTCCCTGCACACGTAATCACCAGAACTGAACGCTTCAAGTTCCAACATTAAAACTAATTCAGATAGAAGATTTCTTTCACAGTCCTGTAAATATGATAATTACTGTACTTCACTCATTCATGACATTTTATCAACCTAAATATCATAATTCTGACTACAAGAACACAACCGTAACTATATCTATGGAAAGAAAACAATATTAATTATAGTACTTGTATGTCAAGTTGAGTATTTAGCTAAAATATTTACCTGAAACAATTCTACCTTTTTCAGCATATCTATGTTACTATGCTTGATTAAGTCACCGTACAAGCGTGAAGGCAAAATTTCTTTATAATGCTGTAAGTGTTACATCTTAAATTGAATGATAAAGTTTTTACTTTTATGCCTGAAAACTTTGACATTTTTATTCGTTCAACTTTAGCAATTGGACATTTATGTTTGAAAAATGAAAAGCTTTTTAGAAAGTTTCATATTTGATATTTAGAATTGAGATTCAATAATTTTTGAAGTCATTTGACGTGTAAAATTACTTTTTCATTAATTTTGACTTTTTCTGTATCCCATCCATATGCCAACCAAGTGGTTATTTTTTTTTGCAGATGCACAGGAACTCCTCTAAAATTTTATAATTAGCAAATATGCTTAATTAAAATTATTAATCACTTTTATGTAATATTTTCAAGTGTAAACCAAATTTTATTGAAAGAGATATTTTAGTCACAAATTATCATTTACTTTTTTGTGCACGTTCAAATGAATTATCAATTTATATTTGATCCAAAATAATTCATCAATTATGCCATCTCTAATTAGAATCGAATAGAAATATTATTTTCAGCGTTATTTTCTTTTAGCTGTAATTTAATAGTAATGATCTGATTGTATAATTAGTAAATATTTAAATTATCATTATTTTTGAATTGGAATTAGAATGACTTATCTGTTAATCATATAACGTTTGCAGCCATCGAGAGTATTTTCAAAATTAGCTTTAATAATATTCATTTTTGATATCATATTACCAACATCCCCAACAATCATAGCAAATATCACTAATCCAATTATTGTATCAACAGTTTCAAACAAAAATTGCAGCAAATATGTTGGAGATGGCTGTATTAAATAATAAGAGATAATATTAATAATATTTTGCATGTTTACAGAGTTTGCAACTGCATGAAGTTAAATTGTAATGATATTTTGTGTTGATAGAAAGTGTTTGGAATTTTCATAGCTTTAAAATGTTATTTGTCTTCAGAATCATAGTATTTTTACACAATATGCCATCTTCAAATTTCATACTGAAAATTATTAAACTCTTGTGATTATTAAAATTTTAATCATACATTTTGTACAATATTTTTTGACCAAAGATTTTTTTTGAATAATCCTTCAAAATTGTATTAGTTTTAGCTGAGTTTTATTTTCTCTGTATATCAAATTGCTTTGAATCATGTTTTTTTACGCATACAATTTGTTTATTCAAGGATAAATTAATAGAAAAAATACCTGTTCACCAAGTGCGAATAACGTAAGAGCCGACCAGTAAAAACTGAGGCCGTACTGTTTAGTGAAATTACTGAAGCTTATCGTTTTTGTTCTAAATAATATTATTTTAAATGATATTCACGATTGGATCAATCATTTCACTCCGTATTGAGATATGAATAAGGTGTTTACGTGTACACGTTTGAAGAATTAGTGTTGTAATACATAGCTTAATTATTTTAAGACTTTTTGAAACAACAAAGTAAATATTTGTTTGATTGAAAGCACCTATAAACTCATTAGAAAAACCAAAATGTGAGTCGTATTTAAAAAACAAATTAGCTGCCTTGTGAGACTCGATTATTATAATTCAAAAATAGTATGAATACAAATTAAGTGCGCTAAAAAAGGTAAAGAAAAGCATTCTCTGATAAAAGTGTATCATTAAATATATTAAGTATATATTCAAATTTTCAAGAAGAAAAAGTTAATTTTAGACAAACCTATCAAGCCAGTAAAGACTAAGTTCAAGCACATTATCCTCCCAATCCTGATTATTCATATCAATTGATAAAACTTGAGGCAAATTAGGAGATTTTTCAGTGATAAAAATTGGATCTAATATTTTGTCATATGAAAATATCCAATCATCAATGTCGGCTGCTGTAACAATGCTTATTTATGTCATTTATAATAAGTAATAAAAATTGGAAAAAAAACTTTGCAATAAAAAATTGAATTGTCCTGGTAGTATTGAATCGGTTCTTTCTGGTATTTAATAGAATTAGATCTAAATAAATTTTTTGGGAAAAAATTTTAAATTTGAAAATTATTTACAATTTAGTAAATAATAAGTTAGCAGAAAATATGCTGAGAGATTTATTTTGATGCTTTGTTTTAATTAGTGTAGAAAATTGATAATTACATTAACTTTTATTTTTATATATATAATGGAATTGTCTTTAAAATATGTGCTCCTTACTCTGATTCAATAAATTTAAATCAAATTTTCTGTTCCAATGATAGAACAATTTTCATTCAGAATAAATATTCCAGAATAAAAAATTTCTTTCTTCAGGATTTAATTTATTACTAATATTACTAGAATTAAAAAAATTATCGTGGGAAAAAAGAAATTTTGTTCAATGTTTTAGTATAATAGATTTCAAAAATCGAGAGAATAATTAAAACAAACTGTTAAAATTGTAAGTAATATTCAAAACATGGTACAAGCAACTGTTCAAGTGAAATATAATAATACAAGTCGTTGTGAGCTTCAAAAAGTGAAATAAATTCGGAAGACTAGTATGAATTTCAGTGAGTTCATCGAAGTTCCAAATACGATAAATTTTTAACAAACGATTGCATCGTAGTAACGTGAGATCATTACGTAGAAAAAGTAATAAGTCAAATGGTATAACTGCAAGTACGTCTACACGAAAGGTTTTGCTGCAAAACTGATCATGAGTGATATATTAAAATTTGCATGTCTGTTGAAATTTATTAGTTTCAAGTTTAATATTAAAGAAGTTTTGCTTAGTTCTCATGAGCAGTTTGTTGATCAATTATTACTTGATAATTAAATTAATACCAAAATATATGAAAAAGGAAAGTGAAAATAAATTTACCTCTTAAAATATTGTAATATTACATCCATAGAAATCTCCTCAACATGATTTCCGTAAAGTGCTGAAAAATGTATAGTGTGAACTTCTTACCAATAAATTAATAACATTACAAATATACTTTTACATAAAAGTATTTTTCATTTTATTATAATTTTATACTAATTTATCAATTAACGTGAATAGATTGTAGAAGAAAAAAATGTATAAATTGAAATTTTTTGATTCAAATCGAAAAAAGCTTTTTGGATATTGTGAATAATTTAAATATATTCTAGATGCCACCAACTCCGGAACCTTTTCGTGCTTGTACAATAATATCCAATAAAAATACAAGATCAGTCATGATATTAGTACAAATCCACTGGAAGTAAAAATGTTGATAAACATCTTCGAAAATCATAATCGAAATCATAAAATAATTATACAAACATGCAAGCGAAACTATTCCTGACCACCAATAATAAAAATAATCGCATTCATTTTTCATCCACTTTGAAACGCGTCTTCAAATTTAATTTTACTTATATTGATAATTTGTAATTTTTAAAAATTTGAACTTTCTTTAAGCATATTTGTATTTATGATTATTTCTCAAGTTGTTTAAAACTTCCATATGTCATAATACCTGTAATGAAAGCAAACGCTGATGCAGGCAAATTATTAATTGTAAAAACTGTTAATTTAAAAAAATTAGAATTTCACTACAATCTACCTTAGAATAAGTTTGCTTCTTCCTCTACAAGGCATTATCGAAGAATCTTTGTGTCCTTCCATGAAACTTTCTCCAACATTATTTAATTTGATGGTTTTTATATCATTTTATGATTCCCACAACCTATTCAAGAAAAAAGAATTTCTTCGTACGTGCTTAAAGCACTAAAATTGTTTTAAATTGGTTTTCTGGTAACTGAAGTGAAGAAAGAATCGAACATCCTGTAAACAATTCGAAATCTTATCAAAATGAAAAACAAAGTAGCATTATTACGAACAAAGTAATCACATCATATCGTTTCTAGCACTGTTAGTCTTTATTATGCTTCGTTGTATATTTTATATAATAATTATCATATCAAAATGTAAACGAGATTGTCATACAATAAAGATTTCCGCAAATTATACAATAAAGATAAAATCTTGGTCCTAAATCATAATTATATTGTAAGTAATAATATTCCACAAATTGATTGTTCATAAAGTTTTGAATACTAAAGCATTTTGTATAATGAATAGAAATGTATGATTATACTTCTCAATTAATTGTGATTAATATTTGGTGATGAGCCATTCATATATATAAATAAATAAATTACATATATATATATATCACTAATATGGAATTTGTTTCCAACACCTATATATAATATAATCATGAAGAAAATGTATTTATAAGTAAAATGAACAAAAATGAGATTTCTGGAAAACAAAAAACTTAATATATTCATTAACTAAATAAATTATATATGTAAATAAATTAATTAAGAAACAAGTAAATAAATAAATAATTAATTAATTTTTTTCAAATAGAGTAGAAAAAAAGACCGTTTTCCTTACTGTTTCGAGCACAGTTTTCAGTCAACTCAGTAGGCTTGCAATTAATGAATATTTGGCTGATGAGTAATTCTCATCAAAGTTAAAATTTAACTGCCGAGTATATTTTCTCTAATATTCATTATTTTTTCACCTTCATATTCATATGATTGCTTGCTATACAACAAAGTCATAACAACATTAAGAGGATTATTTCTAAGTATTATCATGATGAATATAGAAAATAAATATTCACTTACGTCACGAAATGCTTTTAGGGATAATCTTTTAAGACATGAAACTATTAAAATTTGAGGTGTTTATACTGCTTGTTTTTAACAGTCACACAAAATACTTGCACAAAAATTGAATTATACAAATTTGAAGATAAAAATTCTCAAATTTTTTAAACCACTATTCAAAATATGGAATTTTGCAAGATAGTTATACTTTTGATAGCTATCAAATTAAAAATAAAGTTAGTAACTTTACTCGTCAACTGTCGAAAGTTCAATAATTCATGGAATGATTTTCTTACAAAATGCAGAATTCATGAAAATTACTTAGTTATTACGCTGTATGCTAATATGAAAGTAAGTACAAATTCTAAGTCATGAAGAATGTTTAAATGTTTACTTATCAGTAAAATGAACAAAAACTTGATTTTGGGATAATAAAAAACAATTATATGTTTTTAATACATCCATGCAATATTATAAGTAATTATACTCATCTGGCCATTGATTAACATTATTATTTTGAAAAAATTGTAACAAAGTAATCAACCTGTAATTACGTTAATCAAGGAGCCATCTTCAACTTATTGCAGCTGACGAAAAGTTTTGCATAACAATTAAACTAAACAAAAATTCTTTAAAGTGAAATAAAAAATTAAAAAAAGGATTATAAATGACGCATAACTACTAAGAAGAAAATTCTATCATCAGATTTGATGAGTACTAATACCAAACTATTAACATAATGAGTGCGTGAATTACTACGTTGTCTCTTCTTAAGGTTGCACAATTTATGATTATATTGAAAAGTCTGTTATTTTATGAGAGCAAATTGTCTAACACGCTAATTATAAATCTTAATTATTGTATTTACAATTATATTAGAAAGTTCAAAATAAAGTAAAAAATAAAATTAACTCTCTAAACATAGAAATTGAAAAATTAATTATAAACCTTAATTATTGTATTTACAATTACATTAGCAGATGTATGTCATCTGTGCTTCAATCCATACTAAGTTTTTAGGTTTTAAATTTGAGTCCAGATTAGTTACACAACAGTGATCGCATTTTATTATCTAATTTTGATCGTTAGAAAAATATATATTAACAAATTATTAGAATGAAAGAATGAATAGGCCATAAATATTTGCACCATATTTGGGGTCAACCTATTTATAATGCTTTAAAAGCATGCTAGACATATCTAATACTTCCATTACAATTCAACTTTACATTAGATAAAAACGACGTTGCTTAGTATGAGGTTCCCTACTACTTGAACCAGAGAACACATTTGAATCCCACGTTTGTTAACGTATTCTAATAAACAGTATTTAATGATTTAAAGGACATTGCTGCATGAGCAGATTTAATGAATGTCTGCCTCTGTCTAGCTTAAATATATTTAGTGTCATATGACTAAAAAAAGTCTCAATATACGTCACAAGCATGTTAGATATATCTGATATTTCCATTACATTTAGTGATGGGTAATAATGGTAAGTTGAGTTTGAATCTCAGGATTTTGGGATACAAAAGAACTATGATACTACGATATTTAACAAACTTTACATCAGATAATGAAAACCTATGGCTATCCAGAAATAATGAAATAGAAACTATCTCAAATTCATACCTCTTCAAAAATTTACAACTTACTGGTAGATACAACTTTCTTTTCCATTTTTTAAAATTTCCAAATGTAGCATAAATCAGTGAATAAAGTGATTTTATATATTTATGCATCGCATACATTAATTGCTATTATGAGGTAATGAGCAATATTGACGTAAAATTTTCAGATACAACAATTGTGAACCGTGATAAATTCAAAAAAAATTTGCTATTTTCATGACACTAACATCTTTATTTGACAATGCAATTTTTCTAGGCTGAAAAATCAAAACCACTGTAACAACTTTTAAAGAAAAATTATGAAAATAAAAATATTCTAATGATAATCATTGATAATACTTTTACTTTTTTTTTAAATTTCAGAATAGCATAATAAGTTTCAATTTCGAAATCCCGTAAATTACAGGAATGAAACTATAGCACAGCATGTAAAGGTTATTCAAAAATCGACTATCAGAGAATATTATCCCAGTACAGTATGCAAATGCAACAAAAGTTTTGCATGAATAATGGTCGAAAATAGCTGGTAAAAAGTTTATGATGAAAATTAAAGATGGAGATAAGAAAAAACGATACATGTGAAAATAAATTCATACTTTTAGAAAGGCTAGAACACAACCGACGAGATGCAAACTACCCGTCACCAAAACAACAATATCCTTATGCACTGAATCTTTTAAGTCTTCAATCCTATGAAGTGCTTCTGAGACTGATTCATAATCTTCACCAGCCGCAACCTACAAACCATAAAAACTAAAGTTTTAAGAAATAATTTTACCAAAAATTTTTCTCAAACTTTCGAAACTGTCTTTCCTTTTATTGACAATGAATTTGTGAATACTATGAATTATTAGTACTTAAATTATGCTTTAGACAAGAAAGATAGTTGAAAATTTATAATGATAGATACTGCGAAACATCTCCAGTAAGAAGCGTGAACTCGATGTAGAGGATATTTGTATTCAGCGCCATGAGATAACTGGTTATTCATACTATGTAGTAGGTTAGGACAAAACAATGCTAAGTTGAAACCACAATTCTGAAGTACAAAATAGTATTTTATAAATAGTGCGTCAAAACTTATGACTGAAATTTTCCGCCTGAAGCAAATAAAAGTGCAAAATCTCAAAACTACAAAAAAATCAACTGCTGATAAACTTTAAAAATGTACATCTAATTTGCATAAAAACGAACGATAACTCCTTCCTTTACTACAATTGAACAGCAAGACTCGATAAGGATAAGATTGTTCAGAGCTGCTTAGTTTCCCCATTTCTTCAGTAAACCAATCTATACAACACTGAAATAATAATTGAAATGAAAAGTAAAAGCTTGCAAATATTTTTCGTGCAAGTAAATTCCATCTATACTGAGATCTTTCACGGGTTAAAATGCTAACTTATTTTTAAATATATTTAAAAGCTCCTTATTACTCATTCAAAAAACTTTCTAAACTGAATAAATTTATATCATACAGCATAATATTAACTTGCAAACTTTTCGGTGTATGTGCACCATCCAAATAATATGTAATCGATTCACGTTTGACTATTTGACACCGACCAGGCCAATTACAGAGACGAATACCATCCAAAAATTGTTGTGGAACAACAAAACCTGGTAAAATTTCCGATTCTGATGTAGCAACGTCGTCATGATGTTTGAAAAAATCAGCTGAAATCTATAAATGCATGAATGTTTCACACAATTACAAAATTTATGCCCTAAAACAGAGAACTACTTTATACTCCTTAAGAATGCTAAAATAATATATTGGGTTAGCATCTTTTTATATAATTATTTCCTATTTTTAGTGGAAAATAATAGTGCAAATTTCTGAACATATATCAGTTAATAATTTACCAAATTTTGTCCTTTGTAACCATACTTTGGCCAATTGTAAAGCAAGTGATATGTTTATTTGCTGATGAGCACCAGATATACCACACTGAACACCATTATCTGGCCAGCCATATGCACTGAATTCAGGAGCTACTCGTAAAACACACTGAAAATCCACTAAATAACTTACAGCAATAATTCGAGTTTTATCAAATTATACATATAGCTATTTTTTTAAAATTATGATTATTAATAAAACAAAGAATGTGGAGCACAGGCACTGGAGACAAAAAATAAAAATATTTGTAATTAAAGACATATTTTTTGCTACGCTTATTAATTAAAAAATTGTATATAAGTCTGTGTAGCTGAAAGCAAACATTTTTATAATCTGCTAAATTCCTGAATATGACCATTGCGTCATCGCTCTGTTTAGAAACAATAGCTACACTACCACTCTTGAATATGCCTCCTTTCTGCCACGCAATTAATTTTAATGTATTACCAAGCAGTGACATGTGATCATAATCTAGTACCGTTACGCCGGAAACGACTGGATTTCTAAAAATACTAGTGTATTTATTCTAATTAATAAAGTAATATTTTAACAACTATAAAAAGAATAAAAGTATGTCAGAGTAAACAGTTGCTGCCACCTTCTATTACCTGTATATTTAATTATACTGCAAAACTTTTTAGCAAATTTATTTTACCATTCTTATTTTGAAGCATATATACTTAATATGCTAATGTCTAAAAGCTGATTGAATATTATAAATGAGCAGCATAAAATATTAGTGATTTTAAGCATATTTTGTGACAAGTAACCTAATGACATTGGTGCAATCATACCGACCACCGATACCAACTTCAATTATGGCAACATCAACTTTCTCTTCAATGAAAACATGGAAAGCCAGTATTGTTAAAAATTGGAAAAAGCCAGGCATAGATTTATCTCCTTTTGACTCCTAAATATATTAGAATCAAATCTAGTAAAAATACGCAATTATATTGAATATTGTGTCACATTTTGTTCTAAAACTTTGCATTTTTTACGATTTGAAGAAAATGACGAAAATTTTATCAAAGTTTTAGCAACAAATATTTGTACTACTTGCATCTGAAAATTGATATAAATTTTTACAGATCAGGAATTTATGATAACATAAAATACATACCATAACAGCTTTTTCCAAACAATTATAAATGTGTTTAAAATGAAAAACAAATTGTGATTCTGATATGGGATCACCATTAATTCTAATTCGTTCACGATGATGAATAAGGTGAGGAGAGCTGTAAGTAGGAAATATAAATCTGAACGCAAAAAAAGTCAGTTAGAATATATGATTATATATCATCCATAATTTGCGAATTGCAAACTGGGTTTGCTGTTTTAACCAAATGAAATATATAACACTGTTTATAAAGCGAGTTAACACTCACTAACTTTATCTTCAATTAAAAACACAAATCTGTATCAAAGTTTTCACCTATAAAAACCAGTTTTAAATCCAAGCTGTCGCAGAATTGATTCCGTAAAGGCACAAGTTGATCCTTTACCTTTCGTCCCGGTAACATGAATCACATTCCTTTGATCGATCTCTTCAAGCTAAAATTTGAAATGTTTTTTTGAACTTTAAATGTATAGTTTAAAAAAAGTGTTATACATAGGTTTAATTACTCAAGTGTATGTTTGAACCTATAATCTGAGTTTCAGCGTAAAGTAATTTTCTCCAATTAAAAAAAATAAATCTTTTACTTAATCATAAGCATCAATATACTTAAATTACAATGCCAATTAGATATTAAATGTTACTTGGATATTACATTTTTCCAGATACCACTGTGTTTCCAATAACTTTTTTTCAAGTTCCACGCCCTTCTTGCGTGCTCCAAATTGGATTACTTTTGCATTGCTCTGTAAACCATTCAAACGCTTTATCGATTCCTATAATTAAAATATTAAAATTCATGCAAACAAGACTGGTCAAGCAAAAAAAGATTTGTGAATATTTTTCCCACAAAAATAATGCAATAATCATATCTAAATGCTGATATTTATAGGTAACTGAACTTGTAGAGAGAATATATTTTTTATAACTTGATATCAAAAACATTTTACAGCTTGTCGCAGTCATATTACTGATTACTGAATTTATTCTCATGCTCAATAAATAAAATAAAAAATTTTGTTGAAGATTTTGATCAGAATCTTAAGAAACTAAATTAACAATTATAACACTAAAATAAAAATAATAGTTAAAAAGAAGACTCAAAGAAGTAAAAAATAATAACTTAAAATGAAAAAATAATTTTGTTATACCTCGTATTCAGGAACCATTCTAAAGATAGAACTTGCAGCAAAATTGCACAATAACTGTCGCCTATTTATTATCCAAGAACAGATAAAGTTCTGACCCGATCGGATAAATAATAACCAACTCTAAAAATGTGCAAATGATTGTTGTTTGCAATATTAGAAATATCACACTACTAAAATGATAAAAAAAGTCATTACTTTTGCTCTTTACAGTTATCGCATCTTTGCATAGATCGAAAAAAGGTGGGAAATGAAATTCAAATAATCTTTACTGATAATTAACTTGCATACATGCATTTAATCGCATATGCATGCGATTTGGATTAAAGTAAGTAGGTCTCTTGTTTGAAATAAGATTAGATTAAATCATTTTTTGTGCATTTAAATAATCAGCCCTCCGTTACACTGATGAAGAAAAATTACGCTTACTAATAAAAAAAACAAACTTTGGTTAATCCCATTTGAAAGATCGAATTATTACAACGAATTACCATTATTAATATCAAACAATTACCAAGTTTCTCAAATTCACACCTAGAAACAAAACTTCAAATATTTTTAATAACGAAACAACAGACTAAGTACCCCGTAAATGCTTTCTTATTGGTAAAGAAATAATTGTTCCTTCAGTTAATTACTTGTTACCTCGATTATCAGGCCATAGATATTGCTCAATAAAAGTAATTACAAAATAATCATAATACATTATAAAATAGGAGTAATTCAAACACTATGTCAGACATGTGTATTTTTCACCAACAGTAAAAAGATACAATGACATTCATATTTTCGAAACTATTCTTTCATCCTACATTGAATATGAATCACATACTTGTTGATTAATTTTTATTGAAGTTCATACAGCCTACTTACAGAAGTTTATGCAGCCTACTTATCAGCTTGAAATATTTCTGAAATAATTCTTGTGCCATTACAAATACTAAACAATGCTGTTTTCTGGAGCCAACGTCCCAACAAAACCGTCATTTACAAATATAAATATCAAAGTTCTACTTTTAATTACCAAGTACTGTTGAAATTATAAGCAATAAGCATTTTGTACCGTGGTATAATGATTATTTGGAAACGTAAATAACAGAATAAATTTATTCAGGATGACAAGACCATTTCATACAAAAATAATTCTTCAAATATTAAATCAACACAATACAGTTCAGCTTTTGCAAAGAGCAATTCTAATGAGACCGTAGGAACCGGAAAATTTTATCACATGAGTATGTAAACAGTATAATGATCAAATTCTAGAAACATTGTGGCAGTGAAGGCGATAAGAGTATTTGCTTAACGTTGCTTCCGTATTAATGACTGAAAAAATTGTTTTCAAGCAAAAAAATAGCCTTACCACAGAATACTAAATGTTAATAGCGCGGAAAAATTTATGATTAACAAGAGATGGAACTAAAGATGCAAAAAAATACACATGTTTTTGAATGATTTGTTTTTTTATTTGATAAAAGTATTTTGATAATTAAATTGTGCTATCTCAAAGTCTTTTCATTACTTATGCTTTGATAAAAGCAAGCAATAAAATTTTGAGTAGATGTCTAAAAGAATTTAAACTTTAGCTTTTTAAGATTATATATTTCTACATATTTTTTAACATAGAACATTGCTATCATAAATGGTTACAAAAGAAACATAAAACACATTCAACTAATAAATTTCCAGAACGAAATCTTGGATAATGACATTCAGCTCATGAATGAATAATGGGCACTCAATTAGAACAAAGTTCAGCCAACCTCTGGACTGATGATTCAATATCAGCTAAACAATTTATAATCCCACAAAATATAAAAATGACGAAGGCTGAGCATCAAAAAAGAAATGATATCCTAGAAATAAATTTTACTACTGAGCTAATCTCTTGCAAACACAACTTTTGAAAAGAAAAAGTAAAGAAAACTCCGAATTGTCACATGAATCCTTCATTTTTTCTTAAAAAATGAACTGATTTTAGCCTGCACTTGTGGCACTTTTACATTTGTACGCGATTTGCTATTTAAAAGACCAGCATCACTGGTTGATTTATTACAAGCTTCAGACAACTTCGGTTGTACGATTTCAATTTCTTTCAACACCTGTTTCGTAACTGCAAAGATTAAAATCTCAGTTATATTACTACGATTGTAATTCCATTTTGATTTCAGTAAGCTTAATCATTATTTTTTAACATACGAAAATCGTACCCATGAAACCATCAGAATCAAGAAAAGTTTCTGTCACATATTCTTTCCGAGTTGGCTTTCTTAGGTTTTCTTGAGGTTCATTTCTATTTGGAAGATCATTTTCTGGATTAGATGATATGCATGATCGCCCATCTAAATACAAATTTTCGGACTTCATTTAATAATGATAAGCAAACTAAGCACTATTAATAAAATATTTTCTCTCAAGAACAAAGTCATAAAGTTAAGTGAAAGAAGCACTTTTTACGATTTACAGATCAAAAAAAAATTAAAAACGATGTAATCTGATAAGTAAATAAAGAACCGACGTGATTGTTTTTCACTCTTTGCTTTATCTTGATTCTTGTTATTCACATTTTCATCAACTTCCATCCTTTCTGGAGTAGAATCACCATCCGAAAATAAATCATCTTGAGCTGAAAAATTATGGTATATGATGATTTCTTGATTACCACAAAACACTCTCCAAACATAATTTTTGCAGAATTTCTAGAACTTTGGGTTTAACTTTACTATAACTAATTATGCCAACTGCATGTCGATTTTAATAAGATTTGAATCGATTCTCTGTGAAATACGTGAAATTTCCAGACGTTTTACAAGCAGAGTGTTATACTTAAACTATTTATAAATTTTTGCGACGCTAACATAAGACTATTTTATTCGTTACCACACTGCTACTCTTTTCCGCAGACACCAATTTTCCTGAATTTTTTCTGATATTCGCTTCTCCAGCTTTTTCGCATACGATTTTTTCATTTACCTCCAGTTCTTCGTCATCAATTAAAACACGTGGACCACGTCGTCTATAAAATTATTCAGTTGTTTACCGACTTTTTGAAAACAAAATATAAAACTACTTGAGTAGTGTCAACCTAACTTTCTTGTTTTACGGTTATTAGAGTACTTTTAGAAAAATAACTGTTTTAACACAAAGAAAACAATTAGTAAAGCGACTACTGCATTATTTAATAAAGTTAAACATTCTTACTTCACAAAAATGCTGGCAGAAACATTACCACCTACGGCATCAGCAGATTTTTTGCTACTTTTGAAAGCAGTATCAGCTTCGACCTTTAAATGTTTATGGAAATTATTAGCATAGTAGAATTTAAAACTACAGATGGAAGCTTATGCTCACATTTTCATCTATTGCCATTGTTTATTGTCACCAAAGCTCGAAAGTAAAATCAAGGTAAGCAAAAAATCTAACTAAAAAAGCTCTGGAAAAGCAGATAATTTGCAAACATAACAATCGCACCTGAACTTAGCATGCATATGAATAAAATTAATATCCTAAAATTGGAATGAAAATTTCTACATAGAATAAAAATAGAAAGTAATGAAAGTTTTCTGCTACTTTACTCAACAAATTGATATGAATGTGAAAATATTCAAAATTCGAATTCGCACTATTGCAGGTTTACACAACTTAACAAGCGACAATCAGTACTAGTGATTTGCTACAGATATAAGAAAATAAGGCAACTTACTTCTTTCTTTCTCTTATTTTTTACCGCTTGTTCTATTTTAAAAGCTGTGTCGTTTTTGATTTTTGTAATTGGTTGTTTAGAAAGTTTTGGCTCAGTTTTCGCATGTTTCGATGCAGACAATATCGAGTTATTACCAGATACAAGTTCCTAAAAATAGTAAAACCATTTTCACCTTGACTTTATTTCATAAATATTCCATATTCTCAAGATTGAAATAAAAAATGTCCAATAAATTCGATTGAATAAGAACAATGTGTTTTCATCAAATGAATTAACAACTAATTTTCCATGGCTTCAAATGAATAATTAAAAAACAATAAACAAACAAACACTTTAATACGAATTCAACGGACATCGCAATAGTAAGCACATAATTTTTTAAAATTATGATACCTATGATATTCAATATTTTGGTGGTAAAAAGTGCTTGATTATAAACATGATATTTTAAGCACAAAGAAAAGTTAATTATCATTTGCTAAATTTAACAAGAGAAAAGGGTCAAACTTTTCTCACATCAGAAATGTGAGTTGAGTTTTGAAATATTGTTGTCTCCTGATCCATTGTTTCAGTGTGAGGATAGGACAACCAGCTTCGTTTGGAATCGGTTCGTTCAAATTCTTCATCTTCCATACTATCCACAGAATATAATAAACAAAGAGTCTGCAAAAACATGTTTAATGATCATAAATTCCATTAAAGAACTTGATTGAGTTATTTTCTACCAAATTCAAAATATTTTTGAAAAAAAATCAAAAAAATTAAATTTTTAGAATTTTCATGACTGTGATATAAAAAAAATTATACTTTTCCATACTCATGTCAGTATAAGTATCAGAAAATAAATTATTGCCTTGACTGGCTTTGCAAATAAACCGTAAATTTCACAAGTTTCAATTTCTTCATAATTTTGTTGAACTTTTTCCAGATGACAATCACGAACAAGTTGAGTACGACGCTTCAATGTAATCCCTTCTTCAGAAGTATCACAACTGCCAGTGCTCGTAGAATTACCTTTCATTTTCAATATACCACTTAGAATATATACTGCATGTAGTTCTGTTCGATTTTTGTTATTTTTTAGGAATTCATTTAATTCACTAAAACAAGAACAATACATAGAACCATCAATACCTAGACAGTTTATGAAATAGATCTAATTAATCTAAGAATTACTGATCAGTTGCATAGACTCAATTATTTTACTGATACAAAACAATAATCAGGAAATATTTAGGAATCTCGTTTAAAAAATAAGGTGAGGACTTAATGAGACATCATTCCTATTAAAAAAGCACAAAATCATACTCTTTCGCGTCATCAATTGGTATTTCAGCATGCCTACTAAGATACTGCACCGTTACAACTTGTTCTGAGTCAAATAATGAAGTTTCTAGTATTTGACGTCTACTCAAACCCATGTCTGACTTATATAACTGATCTGCAATATGTGCGTACAAATAACAAATATATTCAAGTCATAATAAAATTAAGAAACTAGTATATCTCAAATTTCTTCACAACTCGAGAGACCATCTACATATAATTACTTCCGAAAATTGATGAACGGGAAGAGTGTACAAAGTTTCCTTTGAAGAGAAGAATGTTCCGAAGAATGCAAATAAAGGATTTCTTGAGATGAGCTAACTAAGGAAATAATTATGAAACATTCCATCTTTTTATGATTAAGTAATTTTGAATGCAAAATAAGCGCCAGCATGTGACACCGAAACTGATACCAATTTTTATTCAAACTGCTTCGAATCAAAAGTTGAACACAACAGTGACTGTGAGCAAAGAGGGATGCACGAGATGGTAAGCATTATAAATACACTACAGTATAGTAAGCACTGGTTGAAACTTTTGAATACACAAATACCCAATAGAGTACCGAATTATGGAAATAACCATTACAAGGGGAACATAAAGCGAGCAATTAGCATACATTCAAAGATCAGATATTAATAATACACATAGAAGGCTTACATATTCAGTAACTCATAAAGTATTCAAGAAGACTGCATGCATTTTTCTCACTGCAGAGGTAAAAAATTATTTTTACTACTTCAGAAAACTTTCAATTAAGAGAAGAATTTTCTCGACACATAAATGAAACTCAAAATATGTAAGATGAATTTTTCTACGACATAAATTAAAGAGCCAATTGATAAAGTATGAGCAAGAAAAGCGACGAATTCGAAAACCTTCACAAAAATAATGGAGAAAACCTTATCAGTAAGATGAAAATTTTCACAAGAAAATAAAGAACTGTAATGATAATAAAAATGAATCACAAAGAAGTCAGGTAAAGTCATGAAAAATCAAATTATGAGACCTGAACGACCCCAAACATCAGCAAAATAAATACCAAATTACCTCATTAATGCATATATATAATACAATTAATACAATTCATTCAAAATAAAACCCATTATCAAAGTGGAGTCAAAAATCTTTATTCACTCTGAGCTGATTAATATTCAAAATATGTTAACTGTCTTCCATAAAAATCTAATTACGCAACTCTAATGACTTCGATTAAAAAAACATTACGATGAAAAAACAGAAATCTGTCGATCACGGAAAATAATTTTAGCTACTACAAATTAGAAGTTATAAACTGAAAACCGCTAATTCGAAAATGTTCATCCTTACTGCTAGCATAAATCACAGATACTTCAAAAAGACTTGTCTTCATCACAAAATGCCATTGCTATAATATTGGTAGTTATCATAAAGTCTAGTAGTAATGGAATCACGACTTTGTTCAACCATAGCATCTACTAAGATTTGCAGCTGTTCTTCAGTGCAGTTCATATGAAAACGGTCCTTAAGAGAACGCACCACATTGAATCCACCTCGGAAACAAGGAAGCTGTGAACCTATAAAACATTCCCACTTCAGTAAGAAAGTATTGAAACCGCTTTCTTGAGTTTACGATGTTTGGAACAACAGATATACAAAAGGATATTGCTGATGCGAAACTTGTGGCAAAATTTTGATGCAATATAAGGATACTAACCGTTACTCATGATTTCAACAATACTGAGAATCCTTTCATGGTGTTTCCTTGTTGCTAGTAAACCCTTCAAGAGTAAAATTTTGTAGTAGCTAAACATGTCGCTATCTATTCCACCCATGACATCGATTAATTCATGTGTAAGCTTAAATGGTGACGTTTCGAAGCCCAGATTCTTTGGTGATATAGAAAGAATATATCCGAAATCTATATGTATTAAATGACCTTCGGAATCCAACAGTATATTACCATTGTGTCTGAAATTAGATGAGAACTTTACTCAAACTTAAATGACAAAAAATTTCTTTCAATATAACATATATATATATATACAACATTTTGAGTGGAACAACAAAAATTAAAGAAGAAAAATAAGAGTTACTCAGCCACATCCAAAATGAACTTCAGTCAGTTTTTAACAGTGGGGAAAGTTAACAAAATTCAAAACAACTAAACAGAGAATATAAAGTGTCAGACGATACAATGCTTTAAATTTTAAATCCATAATCCTTACCTGTCTTTCACCTGTAAAAAATAACATGCAAGACTATATCCTGCACAACTCTGCACAAAATTTTGCTGCGCAATCATAAAATTTTCTGAACTTGGAGGACCAAACGTTTCGAAAAAATGTGTGAGCAAAGCAGGTGGCACTGCACACGATGGTGTACCGCGAATTATCATATTTTTCTTGATCTAAGAAGATTTTTTTTTGAACAAATCTTCGAGATTTGCACGCACAACAAGAAATGCTAATTTGGCTAAATAAGCAACCTAATATCGCGTGATAATGAGAACTAAGCTTGATTCCGAAAATTCAAAATCAGTGAATGCAAGATTCAGTAATGATCGGGTAAAAAATCATACGGAGCCATACAAATTTAATGAAAGTGAATTTAACCTGGTGCAGTGATGATGCATCCAATATCGGTTCAATCATTCCAGAATTTGACGAGCACACCACAATTTTGTATGGTCGCAAATAAAGAGGAACTTTCTCTTCAACCCATATATTCTAAAATAAAACTGCTGCACTGCTGTGTCTAATGTCACTCTAATCAAATTTTGTTACACTCGAATATCAACCATTTTTTATTAAATATAAACTTAGCAGTGAATAAAAATCGAAATTCAATAATAGTGTGGATAAAATATTCAAAATATTGCACTGCTTCAAGAGAAAATTTAATTTTGAACTAAATTTCCGCTTTCATTACATATCCCAAATCAAAATTTTCTTTTAGACTAACTCTATAAAATAAAGCGTAAAATTGAAAATTTTCTTATTTTTGTGAACATGAGTACAGTGAAAAAGAAAAAAAATATTGTTTTCTAATTATGAATAAGGAGGAATTAATGGGTTTGTAGAGAATGCTCAAAAAATAAATTAAACTGAAGCTTAAAATTAAAACCTGCAAAATCGAAAGCAACTGATATGCCAACAGTTCCTGTCTCAAATCATCACCAGTTTTCACAATTACTGGTAATAAGCGCCAGAGAGGATGGCGCCCATAAGGAGAAGAATTTTTAATGCGAGCCACCTTGTCCTCCCATGGTTCGCTCATCGCTGATGCGGATGGATCATCTGGTGTGTCTCGTAACTGCAAAAGTTGTGAGCGAAGGATAAAAAACTTACATATTCCGCTCTTCAAGTCAGAAAAAGACTAGTAAATGTACGTAGCCAGTATCTTAATGATAAGAAAGAAAAGAAAAGGCCGTTTATTAAAACTCTTAAGCCAAAATTTTATTCACCGAATGAGAAATATTAAAACTTTTATGGGAAAGTTTTAACGTTAATATGTCAAAAGAGAGGAATATAATAACGTCTTCTAATTATCTAACGAAAATTTGTAAATAAAGAAATGAAATCTGTACAGGGAAATGTACCTGATGCTTAGGACCTTTAACCCATAACGAAAATCTTCTTCGAATATCAACAGTATTTCCCTTTTCTTTGCATTCTACAGATGGCCCTGCCAAATTAATAGTAGGTTTTACGATATCAACAAATATTGCCTCACTGGATTTAGTTCGGACCTAAAAGTTAGTTACTGACAATACAACATAATTTGTGAATTTTTCAGACTTCTCAATTGCTTTTGTCAATCTCCCAATCAGAGACAGAAAATTCCAAAACGAAAACAACTGAGACATGACAAATTGCAAGTCACAATCAGCGCTTACGACTTTTTTAATTTTTTAAACAGAAATGAGAAAAACAAAGATAAGGTACCATAAACATTCATAGACACTACATGCAGATACTTAAAGAGATGTTCAGCTACTACAGTGAAACTCATAATATTTATACCATCACTATGATGTATCTTATCAACTAAAGTGAAGGACTTTAAACCAACTTCGTTGAAACGCTTTGGCATATTTTTAGACGGAATTTTCGAAGCTGAAGCGAAGACATTGCGACCTTTGCGCTGGTATTCTGCTGCTTCAATATCGCTAATTCGTTTCGGTATCCTCGCTTGTCTCACATCCTCTACTTCCAAAACTTCTACGAACAAACAATATGGAGCCTTAAAATTTCTCATAAGAAATATTTAATTACTGGACGTCGATCGTGTCATAAACTCATCAACAAATAGTTATGTACTTTACTTCTCCTTTGTCCAACACTTTACTATGTAATTATTCTGAAGTAAAGTATTGATTTAATATGTAATCCACAAATTGCAAAACTAGTTTTATGAAAAGTATCCAAAGAAGTTATTGATTAACATGAAAAATATCAAAGCCATAAGCTTAATAAAACTAACTTTGTCTTTGCTGTTCAATATGCAACTAGCAAGAGGCGGTATCCGAAGGACGACATGTTTCAATGAATGCGCATATAATGGCAACCACACCCGCGCTGGCAGATTGACGTTAATTTTACAAAGTTCATCAACTAAACAACGCGCTCGTTCATCTTTATTAGAAAAATTCTTTAACTTGTTGCCAATATCTATAAGCGCCTTCACAAATTCCTGCTCTGGTCGGATTCTAAGTGCCTGGAAGGCATCACTGTTGCCTTTAGATTTCAGACAATATTGTTGCATGAATTTTTCAACTTAAGTGTGAAAATTTTTAATTTGGTAAACTTACTCCACATGTACACTTCATTTTCATTACATTCCGCGAAGCAACGATACAACGTTCATCATCAAAACAGGGACAACCATTGTCAAAGGCACCACCTATAAAAATTATTTTTTTCAGTAAGCAATTGAAAATACATATACGGAAAATTCTACAAGGTATCATACATACATATAAGCCTTTTTATCAGAATTATAATTCAATTTATTCACCAGATGTTAAATCACCAAGAACTTTAGCATTTTGACTACTTTTGCAACGCCGATTCTCATTTATAATTGCTGCTCGTAGAACTTCGTCATCTTTAGAAAGATCTGAAGTAACAAAACTCTATTGAAAAAGCATTTAAGCGTAAATGCAACTGCAACTCATCTCAAAAATGATTAATTTTTTTGCTAATCCCTAGGATTTTAACAAAATTCAGATGCAAAGTTTTCTCTACACATCACTGGTATCCATCAATCGGATTTTGAGAGATAACTCTCTGAAGTAAATCGATGGTTTTACAGAGCATGCCAAAATGTCAAAACTCATAAGTAAGAGAAGAAAACTTTTTCATGCAAAACCTTACTGCTTTCTGAACATGATCTAGAATGCCACTTTGAAGATGCTACGGATCTTGTACTTTCATTGAAACTATCTGCTTCACGAAATTCATTCAATATTGACTGTCGTAAAAAACGCCCGTGAGATTTTCGGTCAGATTTCCGACAAACACTAACACCATGGGCATCTAGCAACCAGCAGCATTCCAAAGAAAACTCAACGCTATCTTTACACCTGAGAGAAAATTTTCATTATGCAGTTTGAATCGATGCAAAGAAATGATGTATCGAATGAATCAGCATTCATCCTTGACAATAGTCTTGAAAAACTTGACCTATGAAATAAACATCAAATATTAGTGTTTGAACAAATAATTTGTGAAGGATTAGGAAAATAAGTATAAAATATATTATTTTAAATTCTATTTTCCACACAGGCAAATCACATTTTTATATACACATACCTCTTGACCACATACGGATGAATGACCTCAGCAACTTCACGAATATTTATATACAAAACAATCAGTTGTGATATGTAAAAATCTACCATTTGCACGGGTAAGTCGAATAGACGATTGCCTCAAACAATTTCAAAAAATCATTCGTTTTATAGTGAAAAAAATGAGTAATGAAAATCATTATGAAAGAAAAGTACCTAAATAATTCAAAACGCCGGCTTCTTTACAAGTAGAGAGATATCGTATGGCTATCTGAATGTCGAATAAATCGGACTCAAATAACCGCAACAACCAACTTCGATTAGATGCAGCAAAATATAAAAAACTCTGAAAAATTCATGCAAAAAAGGATTTTAATAAATACAGATTTTGTAAAAAAAATATTTAAGAATCTTAATTTTCAAATGAACTGTTTTTGAAGCATCTGCTGTTTCGCTAGAAGAAATCTGAGTTCTTCTAATTTATGAAACTAATTTCAAACTTCCCGGAAATTATATCATGGAAAAAATTTCTGTATAAAACTATACCAAAAAGGTACAATAATGTTGAAGACAAAACTCAAACACTTTTGTCTAACAGAAATATATACTTCTTATTTTTATGCACGGTAAAACTTAATATCATTTATTATTAAGTGATTTTTAAACCATACCAAATAACAGATATAATAAAACCAAATTATTTCACAATTACAGAAATAAATTCATTTAGTCTTACTTTGTTGACAATCTCCAGTTTAGCTTCTGCCACATTACTACACTCTCTTATGTCTTCTTCTCCATCAGTAGTTTGTTCTTCTGCTGCAACGCATTTGAATGCAACCCCTTCATCTTCACAACTTTTTTGCGATACACATTCACCAGAAGTAACAGTACCAGTAAGACTTTCTTCATCATCTGCACCATCCCCAGCAGTTCGAGGTCCCAAGTTAAGACTCTCCGAAGAAGCACCTTTTTCTAATGATGTCGATAAAGAAACACCGCCGAGAGAAAATGATATAGTACTGCTCTCCTGCAGATCACAATTATTTGTAAAAAGAAAACAAAAGTTTGTAACTAGTTCTATAAACATCTCCAGATAGTCTGCATCTTATTCAAGAAATCAACAATACTTTATCAACGACTGGTTTTCCAATCTCATCTACAGGTTCAACACTTTTCGATGAATCTTCAGGTGTATAGGAGTCAGGTAAAAACGATTTTACTCTATTATCTGTACATAATGAATACAGGCTGTTACAGGAAAGACGCTGTAGTTGCGTTGCATAAGTTGCTTCATCATTCGATAAATTGAACGTTTTTTGAAGTACACAACTGAAATTCTGTTTAAGTTGTGGCGAGGAAATTTTCTGTACAACTGCAAAAACGTTTTGTTGAAGTATTAGCATGACAAATTTGTGATTCTCATAACATAAGTCAAAACTTATCTTCTAGCAGGAACTATTGATACTTAGTTCTTTGTTGAATAATATGCATTTAATATTAAAAATATGTCACAAGAATGGCTTTCTTCCTATTTTAAAAATTATTTTAGAATGTGATTATCAACTATCATGTTTTAATAGTATTTAAGATTTCAATTTACCGACCGTGCGCATATTCCACTTTTCGAATGATTACAGTCAGATGATGGTCGTGAATTCATGCAAGAGTTGTTATTATTTGCGCGCCAAATAAGTAGTAATAACGTGGTATTAGTAGTCGTTGTGGCAATAATATTAATTATAATTATGCTAATAGTGATTAATATTGATAATATAGCTAGCAATAATAAAAGGATATCGAGGAAGAAATAAATTTCTCACGTTTTCACTTCTGCCACTACATTTTCTTAGACTCATTTAGAATTCGTTTCTATACTGTTTTGAATCTTTTGTTGCGGCATCTGTAGCACATTATTAAGTAATGATGAAAACAGTAAACAATAAATTAAGTATAACTTAATTTACTCAAAATTGGTATGACTTAATTTTTTTAAAGTCACTTAAGCTACATAGTAGAAAAATATATATAAACTGATCATCTTATGAATACTAGTTATAAATTTGTTTATCAGTTATTCCTAATATATTTGGTTAATCTAAAATCACCTGATATTACAATATTTCTGTATAAATTAGATTTTGATAAATTATTACTGATTAGATCAAAATACAGATATTAGTTTTAACCCTGCTGAACTGAATCAGTGACAAATGATTAAATTTTTTACAAAAAAGATCACAATCAGTCAACGTCATTATTAAAAGCAATAATCTGACCGCAAATTTTATGATCAAGCGATCTATACTGAATACTATATGACTTTCCATCAATTATTCTTATTAATTATCAATTCTTTATAGTTAATCCTGATCAAGCCTCTTCTAGCCACTTATTTCATTTATATCCAGTATCAACATATTCTTCAACTGACTTACAAATCTTTGAAAGTATTTCGAGTTAAAATAAATGAAACTATTCTAATTAGAACTTACGTGATAACAACGCTGAAGACATTAAACCAAAAAATAAAAAAACAAAACATGCTTTAATATTTCACGGACTACCGTTAAATTAGGGAGCAGAATACTTCGAATTTCGTGTAATTTGCATATTGTTATAATGGAGTACTCAGACATTAACATGTAATGTTAATGTGAATACCCCATTAAAACAATATGTAAATTACACGAAATTCAAAGTATCCTGTTTCAAAATTTAACGACAGTCCGTGAAATTTAAGCATGTTTTTTTAATCATTTTTTGTTATTGTTTGACTGTAAGCTTTCGTGTTGTTTCAGTTTTTCGGTGATTAATGGTTTCAGATTCCAGATTCTTAAAAAGCTATAAATGTACACAAAATAGTTTTATGCAATAAGATAAATTTTTTCTTGAAAAAAAAAACTACCATCAAGCAATTTTTCTAATAACATTCATCAAAACTGATCTTCATTCAAATATTACCTATTTAGAATTACCTCACTTTTCATTTAATGTATAGCACATTCTATGATACTGGAAAAATATGCTGGAATTTTATACTATTACTAAAATATATACAATAATTCCTTCTGCTTTAATTCTCATAATTATCGTTTGCCATTAATTTTCAACGTTGTATCATTATAAAATTTATTCTTATCACTACTTGGATTAGCAATGAATTCATTCTCAGGGATTTTCGCTCCGTATATTCCAACAGAATGAACCGATAATGAGTTTCTTTAAAATGCAAGATATCTGAAGGATTACATGACAACCTTTCATTTAAAAGAAATACTCTTTCTTTTTTGCTAAATAAATATCAGAAATTCTTGTTAATCTCATATTAAACATGAGGAAAGCCACTTTAATAAAAATAATATTTCATGAGCCACAAAAACTTGATTTCTTTAAAAAGAATTGATGCTAAATTAGAACTGGACATTAGATTGTAAGTGCGATTAAATTTTGAAGTAAAAACGAAAACTCTAAATAAACAACTTAACTAATAGCAAAGCAGAATTTTGGGGACTACAATTTTCTTTAGTCATTTACATAATTCTGTAAATTTGGAAAAATTTGGGCAATAATGATTGATTTATAAGTGTTGCCTATTAATCTGTACGTGGTAAAATTGGAATACCACACGCATCATATGACGCAAACGTTTTTACTTGCACCTGCATGAATGTCCCCTTGATTAATTTTTACGTGACTTTATTTCACATCTCAAAGTGAATCCAATCATAATTTTTTTAGATGTTCTTGAATTTCTGAGCAGTCTTCCGAGCCTTGTATTGCATTTTACTTGTATGATTCAGTATTGCTGAACTCTGTTCTGTTATGCAAATTAACACAAAACATTACACTTTATTAGAACAGAACAAAATAGAAACTGCGCAACACAACGAACAATAATGATAACACATTAACATTAACAGTAATATTAATAAGTAGCAAATTAGAAGGGACTTTCATAAGGAATATTCAACGAGTAAATAAAAATGCGTACTTCAGCTGATAGATAAAAATGAAAAAGATACCGAGAAAGCTTTTTTTGAAACAAAAAATTAAATGTACCTGACACCATGTAAACTTATTTATCAAACACTTTCAGTGCCTCCGGAAAACTACACGAACTCCACTTTATTACTTTATTGCATGTGTTATGTGTAAATTTCGAGTACCACACTCACACATTCACATTTATATCCACATCCACATTTGCGCATCCACATTCTGAACAGAGTGGCTTGCATGCGTGGAAATGCTTTCACACCATAATTTTTGCAGAGTTCCGAATGTAGGAAGCAGTATCGTGTTTCATCTTGTGGGATAAAGCTTTCGTATCGAAGGCACATTAATGAATCAGTCATCGATACTAATTCATTACTCATTGCTGCGCATCTTGCATAACTTTGCATGACGAATTTCCATTTCTACATCGCAATATAAAAGCGGTTTCTGAGCTTCTCTGAGGTTTTTATTGGTTGGATTGTCTTCATGGTTTCATGAAATCATGAGTTCATGAAATCTCCACTGATCTGCATAGTTCCCTTTCTACAAAAGATAGGATAAATTAACTGCTGAGTACGTGTTGTAAGCTACCTCTTAGTATACATGGGAATCCAAGTCAAGAGCACTAATACCACATAAAATAGTGAACACTGAGAATTTATACGTAATTTTTTCGAAACTTTGGCAGGGTTTATCACTGATGGAAAGCGTACTTAAATTTTGTTTGCACAACGAAAACAAATTCTGCACACAATCAAGAGTTTTTGGTTATTGTATTTCTTTGTTAAAAGTTTGCCAACCAATATCTTATCAAAGAGGATCGTGAAGATGAATAAGAAAATAAAACTTTCAATAGTAATTCAAAAAAAATTATATTTGCAATCAAACTGCATAAGGATTATTCTTTTAGATAATACAATACATATTTGGGTGCAATTCCCTTCTTCAGTTCAAACAGCATTTTACGATAGATCAAGGACTAACCATTACTTGCACAGAATCGTTAGAAAAATGAGATGAAAACTTTGTATAATCCTAATCGAATATTCCAGTACAAAACAGAACAAACAAGCTTAAAAAGACATAAACACGAAAACTGATTAAAGAGCAGTTTTTGCAATAATCCGCTGAACATTCATAGTCAATC